CTTACAAGCATATGATCATTATATAATTATTTTTGTTTTTTTATGTATTCCTTTCTGGTTTTTTTCCCCAAGGCACACACTTTTTTACAACCCTAAAAATGGTATACACATGCAATTTTGTTTTTGCTTTTACCTCCTTATCACAATTTGCCCAATGCTTCTATGTTATTTTTATAATTATGTTTCTAAGATTACATGTTTCCTCAAGTTAAAATATTGTAATTTTTGCTACCATTCTCTTCATACTAGTCATTTATTTCCCCAAATTTAGGACACTATCTGTTACAGGAAACATATTAATTCACATTGCTTTTACTTCTGATGAAATAGTCTCTCAGATATATTTACAGGAACAGACTGCTGGGTGGGTCATAAGGTGTGATTCACGATCCAAGAAACTTCATTTAAAAAGCCTTTCCTTACCTCCTCCAAAGCTTGTATCAGTTGCACAGTTTTTCTGCCCGCAGCAGTAGAATCATCGTAATTTAAAGACAATATTTGTTTTGAGATCTCCCTGAACCAAGCTTGAAGGTTTTCTAGTAATACAGAAATAAGAAAAGACTACTGAAACCCTCGAATTCCTGTAGCTGTGGCTTTGAATTTAACTAAATAATCTTTTACAAATTCAGTTCCTCAGCGCTTTTACCATGGGCCTAACACTAGGAATTTTCCAAATGACAAAAATGCCTGGAGCATGCGACATAGAATAAACTTTCTACATAAATAGCTTAGTCTATAACACTTGGCAGACAAATACTAAAGGCTCAAGTACATGCTATATAAGCGGTAAGTGTAGAGGTGGTAGTGGCAGTGGAGAAGAGTTGGAAGGGAACTCAAGGATGTCCCTAGTTACCAGGGAGAGTTTTCTGGCGAAGCGAGGAAAGGTAAAGATCCGGATCATCGGAGAGATGAAGGGTATTGTATCCAGATGAAAGGCAGACACAGGCAGAGGCTTCAGGGCAAGAATGACAAGAGCATATCTTAGAGGGCAAAGAAGAGACCAATATGACAGAAGTGTAAGGTGTGACTGGTGAGTCACAGGGACGTCTGAACAATGCAGGGGGTGCCATTTGCACTTCTGAACCGGCACACATTTCATACAGTAGAGAAAGAGAAGGGTGTCCACATGCTCTGAGTACCCTCAGTGTGTCAGGCAAAGTTCTAAGTATTTAATCTTCACAGCAATATAGGGAGGTGGAATTTGTTAGCCATTTCCCAGATAAAGAGGCTGATGCTCAGAGAAACTGAGAATGTTATGCAGGGTGACACTAAATGGCGGAGCCAGGACTTACAATTGTCTGTCCAAGTTCAAAAACTCTATTTACCTCACCAAGTTGATCCCCTAAAATTTTTGTTTATCAATGGGGTGGTTCCACATTATTAAAAGGCCTTACCTACTTATGATCTAAGTGATTTCAAGAATTAGCACGACGAACACTCATAATTTTGAAGATTTTTTTAGGGCTGAGGGGCAGCGATGGAGTCTGAAAGCATGAAATTTGGGGTCTGAGATGAGCAAGACCCAGGCTCTTCACCTTTGTACCTTCAGCAAATGATTCCATGCTTAAGCCTCAGTTTCCTTATATATATGAAATAAGGATTAAGATGTGTATCCTACAGGGTTGTAAGGTAAGAAAAAATTATGAAAGTATGTCCTAAGCTGTAATAAACTATACAGCCGGAAAAAAAATGTAAAATTGTTATTTCACCTCTGAAACAAAGTTGGCATTTTTAAGGGCCTAAAAGAAATTATCACAGAGATTAATGCACTGATTCTAGACAGCTAATGGGGTCAGATTGTTACACGTGATTGTTTTGCAGATCACAATATGATAACCATAATATTCATTCTAGACTTCAGGTTTCATATAACAATATGGTGACCTGCAAAACATGTTTCTAGTTTATATCACATCATTATATGTTGGCTGACTTTTCCCTACAGGAACAATAATACAATTTGGAAATATATTTTTGCCCAACCACTCAGCATCAAAAAAATAAACAAAAGCCAAAATACAGTAATCACAAGCTCATACTGATTAAAAATAATAGTTTTTAAATAAGAAGCTACACTACTAAGCAATTCTACAGTAAAATTAACTTCATCAGAAATCGATCGGATAGTTAAAACAAAATTAACCATTTAAAAAATTGTCGCCATAAAATTCAGAATGGTTTTTTGGGAGCAGTTAGAAATTTCTTATTTATAAAAATTTGAAATGGTGCCAGAACTTTCCTATAAATAAAATTTCCTAGAAGAAGTAGGATCAAAATCATTAAAGTAAAATCTGAGTTTGTGTTTTTTCAAAACTAGTCTGCAGTACCTTCTTCTGCCACTAGATACCAGGTGCATTGGTGAACAAGAATCAAGCGAGACCAGAAGAATTTTAGCTATCATCTATGCTGGTAGATTACTAACATTCTTGGATGATGTATCCTTCTTGAGAAGATCATGAGAGTTATAGATCCTTTCCCC